GCCTGCTTTGTACAGCCTTTAGATCAGCTCTCATCTCAGCAAATGAGTTTACCAATTCTACTTGGCTCTTGTTTATAGCTTCAATTTCACTTTTGACATATTTTATATCTCTAAAATACTATCTCTTTTAGTTCCTTCAGTACTTGGATCACTCCTTTTTTGAAATCTTGATCTAGTAGGCCATCAATGTCTATTTCCTTGATCGTGCTTTCAGGGGATTTCTCTTGATCTTTTAATTGGGAGTGGTTCCTCTGCTTCTTCATATTCATATCTCTCTGGCATTATGGCTTAAGGAGTGTCAGTTATCTGTTGTGGTCCTTAAGGAGTTTATTTATTTATCTATCTAAAGCCTATACAGGAATAAAACTTTTAAAAAAGATAGAGAAAAATTTTAAAAGAATGGAGGAAGAAAAGGTTTGAAAACAGTGTATAATCAATAATAGAAGAGCAGGTTGAAGCAGAATAGCAATTGAGTTGAGATGTCTTTTAAAAACCTTGAAAAAAAAGGAGAAAAGATCAGAGAACAATATTTGAAACCTGTGTATAATCAATAACAGGAGAACAAAATGAAGAGAAATGAAAATGAGGTGGATTTTTAAAAATAATAAAAATATTTTAAAAGAAAATTTTAAGGGATTAAAACTGGAGACATATACACTTGTTTAAAAGTAACGATTAAAAAGGTAATAGAAAATAGAACAGATATAAAAAAGATTAAAAACAAAAAGGGATGTGTTCTCCTGGAGAATGTGCACTCTTAATGGTTTGATTGAGAAGTCTGTCTTTGCCCTGTTTAGCGAACTCAGCTTGCTGTTTCCGGGGCCCTCTGTTGGCGCCCTCATCTGTGCTGATTCCTAGTGCCTGTCGGCAAGCAGATCGCGCCCCCTCCCAATACTGGGTTAGGTGCTGAGCTCTTACCCCATGGGTGGGCGTGTCACCCCCCTCTCGATGCTGCAGTCAGATGCTGTGCTCGGGCAAGGCAGGCAGGCGTATCGTGCCCACTCCCAGCACTGTGGTCAGGTGCTGCATTCCTGTCAGGAAGGCGGGTGGCCGCCCACCCTCTCCCGACGCTGGTCGCTCCCCTGCTCTGTGCAGCTGCCCACTCCGCCCCAGGTCGACGTTCCATAGGCGGGCTTAGAGAAGACAGTGGAACTGCCATGCCCCTTCCCAAGTGCTAAAACTCAAGTCCTTGTTTGTCTTGGCGGCACAAGTTCTCTGAGGATCCAGGGCAGACAGATCCTATCTGCCTTGGGCTGTAAACAGAGCTCAGTCCTGCCTAGGAGGTAGGGGATCCCCTGGGTGTGGATTCAGGTCTCAGCCCTGCCCCTGCCTGGGCGCTGTGCACAGGAGGATATGGTGGCTGTGGCTGCACCCCGCCTCTCTTCTCCCGAGAAGCACCAGTAATGGCGCCACAGGTCTGAGGAGAAAAGGCTACGGCACCCCTCCCCACAAGGGCACACAAGCCGTGTTGCTTTGCTTTTTTTTTGTAATTGATGGGCGATCCAGGTTGTTCTGCTCTGTATCCCTTCCCAGCCACGGTGAACAGTCCCCTGCATTCCCCTGGGGCTGCCTCAGTGCGGCTCCTCCACCCAGCTCGGGCGGCCTGTCCCGGCCCCCAGCTACTGGCTCGTGTCTCCAGCTGGGTGTCGCAGGGACACTTTGTGCCTGTTTAACTTAGTTCTGTTGGTCAAGGGGTTCTCCATGCAGATCTGAGCCTCAGAGGCTTCCCCTCTGTCCCCCTGGCCTCTCCGTTGGAGAGGGGAGACCCAGCAAATGAGCGCTAGTCCTCCTTTGCCGCTCCCTCCCCACGGGACTGGTCCTGCACTGTTTTGCTTTTTCGTGGCGTCTTTTTCTTTTGAAGAGGGCGATGTTCTGTTGGAGTTCCGCAGGTGCTCTGGTTGGCTGGGTGGGTCCTTGGATATGAGTTTTGATGTATTTGTGGGAGAGGGTGAGCTATGAGCATCCTTCTACTCCAGCATCTTGGCCACCTCTGTATCCATAAATTGATTTGTAAAATTTTATCACATAACTTGTTTTTCTTCACCATTTAGTGCAACACCCCAAAGCATCTGAAAGGGCTGCTTTATAGTGGATCAGTCTGAAGGCCTGCATTCCATACAGTTGGGGTTTCTGCTGTCTGTAATCCAGCCCTCCAAGATATTGGAGCACGGTTAACAGATCCTGAGTCTAAAATGGTGGGGTGATAGCCACTGTTGGTACATGAGATTTTAGGTGGTAGGCAGATAGCTCCATTTAAAAAAAAGGGGGGGGCAGGGTTTATTTATTTATTTATAAGTGGTGGTACTGGGGAATGAACTCATGATCTTGACCATGCTAAGCATGTGCTCTGCCACTGAGCTATACCCTCCCCCCCAGATAGCTCTATTTTTAACTGCAATTTATGTGTTTTAGAAAAATAAATCGCTACCCAAACCCACGATTTTAGGGCATAACTAAGTAGGAATTGAAGATTTATTGTGAGTTAGTTTGAGAAAATATTTTTAAAATAATAGTATAAGTGACTATGATATGGTGAAAATTAAGATTCTGTTACTCCAATTTGGGAAACATGGGCATATGGGAAATTGGTGTCTTAAGTCGTGAAGGGATTAGTGGATTTAGTAAGTATTGAAATAAATAATGCTAAGCGAATCAGGCTCCAAAAGCCCCTTTGTTCTCACCAAAATCTACAGAAACCCACGGTGGACCAAGCCTAACACGTGCGGGTGGTTGAGTGCATGGGCTGCACGCCCCATAAAGCGCAGGTGGAACCAGACTCTGAACGGTTGGCAGCTGACGGCGGGGGCGCTAGGGGAGAAGGCGGAGCCTTGTGGGGGGCGTGGCCAACACCCCAGGGGCCTGTGAGCCGGGGCTAGAGGCGGGTCCTCCAGGCGGAAGGCGGAGGCTGCGGCGCAGTCACCTGCCCCCAGTAACCAGTAATCTGGCGGCTGTCCATTAAACGCTGCCCATGCCGATGCGAGCCTGAGGACTGCTGAGCCTTTGGGCCGCCGGGGGGGCAGATCTGCGGGAATAAAGCCCCGGCCCGGGGTTCTGAGGCAGCGCGCAGCGGGAGAGCCAGACAGGCGGCCGGAAAGGCGTGCGTGGTCCATGAGCCCGCGCCAGCGGCAGCGCAGAGCCGCAGAGGCCCCTGGCCTCAGGGCGACCCTGAGAATGAAGGCACATAATGTATGCGTGGTGTTTAGCACAGGGCCTGGCACAGGGTGCGTCCTCCGTGTAGCCTCTGTAACGGGAGGGAGGTGGGAAGCGTGAGACTTTGGTAGTGATGTTGACCCGCCTCATTTCTTACCCAGCTTCTGAGAAGGGAGAGGGACAGTTAGTTGGCCAAGTGGAGACACCAGGTTCAGAACCTCAAGATCTCAAGGCTGGGAGGGCTGTTTGTTTTATCTCTGTCATATCGCCCTTCTCTGCAAGTGGAAGTGGAAGGAATTTGACCTGTTTCTGCAGTCTTATTACATGTACAGTAGTACCTGGTTATCCGTGGGGGATACTCCAAGACAGCCGGGGGGTGCCAGAAACCTTGGATCCTACCGAACCCTATGTATACTATGTTTTTTTTTCCCCCTATACCTACATACCTGTGATGAATTTATAAATTAGGCACAGTAAGAGAATAACCGAATGGCCAGCATCACCACTCTTGCACTTCAGGGTGGTTATTAAGTTAAACAAGGATTACTTGAGCACAAGCCCTGGGATACCGGACAGTCGATCTGATAACCCAGACAGCTTCTAAGTGGGGCAGTAGCATATACAGCATGGATATGCTGGAGGAAGGGATGATTTGCGTCCCGGTGGGACAGCGCGAGATTTCATCTCACCACTCAAATGGCACATGGTTTAAACTTACAAGTTGTTAATTTCTGGAATTTTCCATTTAATATTTTCAGACCGACAGTGGACCACTGGTTACTGAAACTGCAGAGAATGGAGGACTATTGTATATATAACCGTGAGCTGACATTTTGCTTTATTTCCCAATGTACAAAACAAGGTGTTTCACTGGGAACATTTTATTAAGAATTTTCTGCTGTGATTTCGCATTTGCATTTTTTCCAGTCATATCTTTGTGATAAAGTCAGGTGGGTGGGTGATTTCAGAAGGGTAGAAAGAATCAGGCAGTGAAACTGATAGAACTGATAGCAGTCTGGGCGTGAGGAAATATGGATTGTAGTTCTGCCCTGTCCAGTAGGGTAGCCACTGACCACCCGTGGCTATTTACATTTAAATTATGAAAGAGAAATAAAAATTTTAAATCCAGTTCCTGAGCTGTATCACCCGTATGTTCAATAGCCACGTGTGACTGTTGGCTACCATAATGGACAGTGCACATTTTAGAACATTTCCATCACTGCAGAGTGCTCTAATCTAGTCTGTGTGATGTCACCCGTTCTTTGACCTCTGGCAAAATCCTCAACTCAGGGTTTCTTAACCTCAGCAGTACTGACATTTTGGGACAGATAATTCTTGGTTGTGATGGGCTGCCTCGTGCATTAGAGGATTTTTAGCAGCATCCCTGGTCTCTACCCACTAGATACCTGGAGCACTCCATCAGTTGTACAACCAAAAATGTCTCCAGACATTGCCAAATGTCCCTAGGGGTGCAGGATCACCGCCGGTTGAGAGCATTGCCTTAACTGCTTTGGGTTTCAGTTTCCTCCTCAATTCAGGGTTTGAATTTTGCTAAGAGGACCCTCCCATCAGCTCCAGCTTTCAGTATTTCCAGAACCACCTAGCTGCTTCGCTCATCAATCAGTGCTCTCGTGAGTGCTCTCTTTTCTCACTGCTGGCTCTCATCAGTGCCAGCAAAATGTAATGATGAGTATTGCTGCACTGAGGAGGAGACCTAGAGCTGATGTATAGATGGGTCTTCGAGTCCGTGGTTTTATTGGCTGAAGCTAAGGCTTCACGGTAACCAGGATGGGCTCACAACCAAGTCTCTGGTTTTCCTGATCTTTGAGTTCCCAAAGCCAGCAAATACAGGTGCCCAGGCCACACTCCCTGAGAACCATGAGGCCCAAGAGGGGACTCTGGGATTAGAGCTCCTAAATGACGTGTCCCTGCCTGCCAGGAAGGTGGGTGAGGAGGGGGTCCCTAGGGCTCTGTGATCGGATCATGGTTGAACTGCTGAGTCTGACCTACCTCCTTGGAGCCTACCACCTCTGTTAAGGAGACACTCTTTATTACCAAGTGGCTTAAGGAAGTCTTTGGAGTGTGGGTCAGAATTCCACCCAGCACTACTCTGTTAGCAGTGGGACCTCAGCAAGTTGCTTCATCAGGTGTCACAGACCAGCAGCCAGGGGCTGTGTCCTGCAGGCAGACCTGTCTAGTTTGGCCCAGATCTCAGGGTATATTGAGAAATTTCACAGGATTTCTGGCTCCTCTTAAGGAATAGAAGATGTGTCTCTGTGGGGCCCAAG